CAGCAAATGGTAGATGCATTTAATAGGTCAAATCAAACCCTCGACAATTCCACTACCAAAAATGACGGATTACCTGTCCTCGCTTGGTGAAGGAATAGCATCGGGAATGCAGATGCTGGCCATGGCATTAGCAGGGTCACGGCCACAAGTTCGCCCACCAGACTACCCCCACTATCCACCTAATTTTAATGGAATACCCCCCGTGTACCATAACCCTTATCAGCCAGCACAATCCTACCCACATCCAGAAATTGAAACACCTGGGCGTGTGTTTCAATTCAATGGAAATCACGAAGAAAATGACTTCCAAACTCTATGAACTAAGGAATTTTTGGATATAATGATTAGAACTTAGTTTGAATTTTAATAGTTTTCTTGAACAATGAAAAAGGGTGAACACAGGTTTAATTATAATTGCACATGTTTCACTATAATTGGGCATAGGCATTGAGTGGGTCACAGGGTATGTTTTACTGTACTGCATCTGATTTGGGGTTTTCAAAATTAACCACTGAGTTTTTCAGCTGGAATAATCTGATCAACCTTAGCTCCCAGGGTACTTTTGAGGATGTACTCTGGTAATTCTTCGTCATGTGGCTGCCCAGATTTCAGGCAGTAAAATAATTTGTTCTGAAGGAGAGGTGATAAAACCGACATTGATGATTACCCTTCCTTATTAAGGGCACTGTAAAGGGTATAATGTAGCAGTATTGGTTACATAGAAATTTAAAAGTTATAAAAACAAGCTTTTGTTTATTCTTACTAAGAGAATATTTTTCAACCTCGGTATGTGCATTGATATGTACTTTTTACATGTGCATTTTTTTCATATATATGTCAACTACTGAACATTTTCCCAAATTCTTTCTCAAGTCTCGCCTACCAAGAAACCAATGAGGAATATGTTCTCGGTACATCTTTGTTATCATATTTCTAACCTGTGCACCCTCAGCAGTGTTACATGAATACAGACAATCTGCAACTGTGTTTTGTTGCGTGGCCATGTCATGTGCAATCTGCTGCTCAACAATGTCTTCATCAACATTAACTCCTTGAACCTCGCAAAAGTTATGCAGTACAAAACAGGCATACACCATTTCAGGTACAAATGCCAATTGCATGTTAATCCTCTTGTTTAATATTTGCCATCAGGCTTTAAGACGTCCAAAAGCGCATTCCACCGGATTCCGTCCACTGCAAAGCATGTTATTAAATATAACCTCCTCGTTCGATTGTGGACTGGGGTACTCCTTCATGCAGTATGATAGCAAGGGGTATGCAGGGTCACCTAAAAGTATGGGAGGGATCTTTTCATAACCGTGGAAAATTTATCTGTAAACCATTGGCAATTTATATTCTCTAAGGAGTGTAGCTATTCTTGAGTTTGCAAATACACGACCATCATGGACACTGCCTGGCCAGCGAGCATCGACATTCTGAAATAAGCGGCTTTCCAGTTGCATACAGCCTTGTACATTTATTGTGTACTTCATTTTGTAGCTAAAATAGTTATGAGGATTTTCTTAGGGCTGTGCAATGGGGATGTGTGTGTACCATCCACACGACCAAACGGCTGAGGAAAACCATATTATTTTCCATTTGCTTAATTTCTTGCCTCATATCTTGCTCTGATGAAGGTAGTTTAATGTATATAGATCCCAAATGTTAAGTTAATACGTGGCAAACCTTCCGTACAACAACTGAGACAATACAAATAGCGGAGCAGTCATGGAGAGAGATCCTTGATCCTTAATAGAGTACAATGTAATTGCCAATTGTTTTTCCACAATAATAACATCGTCTCGAGGTCCTGTATATATGTAGAGCTCACTGATGTAAACAAACGGTTTGTTTAAATTTTGAACTTCACTATTTTTTAAAATACGATGTGCTGTCTGAATGTCTAACACTATTTAGGTTCGTTACGCTTCCAAATTAATATAATTATGAATTAGAGTTTATTTTAAGAAAAAATAAGAAACATGAAAACTGTTTAGGCAATTTGCACATCAGAGAGCCCTCAGTTGTCATGAGCTAAACCTATGCGCAGAACGGACTTGACTTCCACTTTATTAGACATCTTCTTCCACTTATATATCACTACTTGTATCTAAAGTAACCGGCCATTCAACACGTATTAAAGCTTGTGCTAGCTAACATGCACTCAATATATTGAAAATTCAAACTCCAAAATTACACGACAAATTAAAAGAGCTGATAGAAACTTATTGATCAGCAATACTGACAAAAAATTATTTTACGGAGTTTAAGCTTCGCGTTATACTGGAAAAAGGCAAACAGCAAGGCCTTACTTTCTTTACAGAGTTTTCAATCATCTCCTTCAAATTCATCTCATATTTTCTTTGTAATCTTATGTTGTATGGTTGATGTCAAAGCAATGATTGCGCCCGGTTCAGTAAAGCACTGTTACGCCAGGCAATTTTCCTTGCACCTTCAAAAATTTCAAGGGATGTTAAATGTGTAAAGAGATCGGTGATCTCAAGCCCTTCGAAGTAATCTCTCATCCTTCGTCACGTTCCAACTCTCGCTTCAAATCGCATTCCCCACATCTCAATCACATTGAAACCCATCCTCTCAAGTTCGGTCTTTTTTCGTAGCGTCGCTTCGTGCAATTCCTTCATGGTGCGATCCATTACAGGATTCCTCGTCTCTCTCGCGTAAGATTTCTCGCATCCTAAACAGAAAAGCGCAAATTAGCGTAGGTTCCGCGAATAATAACACCAGATAAAAGCTTTGGTTGAGCCGATAAGAGAGAACACGGTGGAGAGTATTGTGTACCATGGGAATTTCCATTTAAGTAACATGATGTAAACCTGAAGACACCATTGTGGAGCGGATTCATACATTGCCTCCATATAATGTGCTATAACGAGAGTCTCTTCTAAATCTTTAACTCCGTATAGTATTCGTCTACAACAAGCCACAATAAAGCCAAGGAGAAAAGGCGGCCAATGAAAATTTCTGTCAAAATAAACCACAGTTGATCACCATTCTGGCGATGCCTGAGAGCCACGTAAATATCTGTGCCAAATCAGCTAGAAACAGAACGACGCTTACGATTTTCATTATTCTACCCACGTTTCCTTCAAGGAGAGCTATAAAACGAAAGTGTAACAGTGATTCGCGGGTATCCATTCGTGTGTGGAATATTCCACACAAGCAGGCGGCGAAATATTTTTAAATACTGAAGTATTTTTTGTAAACTCACAAATACCTTTGCACCCAAAATGCAGATGGGTTATAGTTCGTAGAATATAGGTGAATAATTGAATGCCGTTGCCAAAACGAGTAGAGGAGGAGACTCTCTACGTACGATAGGTGATTGGTGACTAGAGAGTTTTGCAGTAAAGACGGCGTCTAGACGCTGGGTCGAGCAGGTGGGAGTTTTTTTTTACTAAACAGACTATAGCAGGTGCTTCTTTTATGTTGGTCTTGTTTGTTCAATTATATACATTCCATTACAGAACACTCCCCCGCCCCCCAACCTTTAAGATTTTGATCAGTTGATTCTCATAATTCTGCGAAGAAAACCGCGTTATTTCAGCAACGCCGATGCTCAAATTAAGCCACTATTACCCACGCACTTGTATGCAAGTTCCTGTTTGCGTTGACCTAAAGAACCACACCAAAAATCTTCTCACTTTGTGCATAAGGTGTGCCTGTCTTCTTCACGGGGCTTCGGTGGCGCAGGGGTTAGCATGAGCGCCTTTCGCCTCTAAGTCGTGGGATCGATTCTCAATCAGGACTCTTCGAATTTCTCATGTGAAAAGAGTATGCTAACGCTCTGCCGAAAGTCGTGGGTTTTCTCCGGGCACTCTGGTTTCCTCCCACAGGGAAGGTTGGCGGGTGGGTTAGGATAAAGTATGTTATTACGTAATATTTGATGTAAAGCGCATCGAAACATATCCATATGAAAAGTGCGCTATTATTATATAAATGTAATTCATCATCATCATCATCATCATCATCATCATCATCCTTTCTATTTTCAATTCATCTATAGAAATTCTATTTTCTGTACATCTTTGGCGTTTTTAATCCACTGCATGAAGGCTATTATCATATTTTCCGTCATCAATCTTAAGCCCAATATAGCTAACGTTAACGCTGCAGAAAAGAGCCTTTTGGTGTTTTTTTTTAATCAAGCCCACTAAACATGTCAAGTCGGGTGACAATATATCATAACGTTTGCCTGCAGCAAATGATTCACAAACGAGGCATATTAATTTTATTTTATTTTATTGAGTAACGTTTCGTCACATTACGTGCAAGCGACATCTTCAGACTAAATACATGCAGCTAATTATAGAGTATAGGCTATTAGTGTAAGCTCTAACACCATCGAACGCAAACAGTAATACTAATACGGTATAAGCTTACGTTTGAGCACAATTGAGGCGGGAAAAACAGTCCAAAACGCACGCAGAATGGGTAGATACACAATAATAGATCATAAACTCGTATACAATCTGTATATATTATTTTTTAACCCGAAATTGACGATATGCAAATCGTGAAACGTGAGCGTGAACGTGGTTCGACTAAATAGAACAAATACATAAACCTAAATTAATATAGTGTAACTCTAAAACCAAACCTTACAATAACTAAATACAAATAAAAAAAACGACTGACAGATGTTTTCCCAGTAACTCAGAACTTTATTTTAGCTTTTTAGATTTTGCTCTTCGCTTGCGAACCTTTAGCTCCTTACTGCCAGAATACCTCAACTATACTGCCAAGTTTCTGGGCCAACTGCATGCCTTACCCATGCGTAAATCTAGTTAACTTAATTTCCTATGTATACTTGAGATTAATGATTAAAGATATAAGTTTTCCTGTGATAAGCACAGTTGTCACTAACGGACATAACATAGGCTAGCAGTTCCAAACCTACAATTAGCCTATATTTGTGAAAAAGGGACTGAAATCTCATTTTTCAGTCACAAAGAAGTTGATAATTGATAGCATATAAATTATTTCTATTCTCACATATTTGAAAATCCACTGTGATCTCTAGTTTGGGAAAAGGCTAATAAAGCTGACCAGTGGTCAGAACATATATAGTTATGAGCTGATTACCGTTCGCTTGTGGCTGGCCATGGTTCAGGGTCGCCACTGCAGCCAGAGCTCATACAGCATTTGAATATAAGCAAACCACAGTTGGTTACCATTGCACCTAATACGCATATCGTCGCAATTGGTCTCACTGCATCCATATGGGTGTCTTTCCGTATAGGGTCCAAGGCGGCAATCATGATTAGCATAATGATGTTAACTACGACAATGACGATGTATGTCCAGTTATAGTGTGTTTGCATTTGGTTTTCATTACCCTTCAACAGTGCAGTGAAAAGTGCCTTGGACGGATATAACAAAAACGGGATAAAAACATATGCGAAAATGATGAACATTATGATCCCACACGTTAACGCCGATTCCAAAATTGTAATATAACCATTCACGGAGCCAAAGTAATGTGTTTGGATGAAACTTAGAGTCAGCGCGAGGACTGTTGTATGAGCAGCAAATGCCAAAGACAAAAAAAAACGGCATAAATGCGTACGCAAAGACAGCAATTACGACGAGTCGAGAAATGAAACCAGACAGCTCGTGCAAGAAAGATACAACCAAGAATAGCCAGTTATCATACTCGTCTTCTAGAATTTTTCTTTCAAGGTCGATAGTACTCCAAGTCAAGCCAAGAAGGGAGAACACGGTGGAGAGTATGGTATACCACGGGAATTCCCATTTAAGTAACATGATGTAAACCTGAAGACACCATTGTGGAGCGGATTCATACATTGCCTCCATATAACGTGCTATAACGAGAGTATCTCCAATATCACGAACTTCGTATAGTTTTTTTGCATAGCAAGGCGCCAAAAAGCTAATGACAAGAGGAATGACAGTAAAAACTAGCGTCCAAGCAAACCACCCTTCATCACCATTCTCGCGATGTTTAACAGCCACGTAAATATCTGTGCCCAGATCAGCTGCAAACAAAACGAAGCTTACGATATACATTATCTTCCCCATGATCTTAAGATGAGCTGTAAAACGAAAATGTAAAGTTGTATATAGAGCGTCGAACAGTAATGGCATTCATCCTTCGTTACATGATCAATCTTTTATCGGTTGATAATGAAAACTAATAACCGTACTAGTATACTGTATCAAATGACACAGATTGCCGTTGTCTGCATTGGATATACAAAGGCTGCCATATGACCCAAATGGAGCAATATGATGTTTTTTGTATGATTAATTATGCATGAATTTAACAAATATATACAAGTGAACACAACGCCGACGTACAAGCTGAATGAAACGACTTTTTACTCTACTATATTTCAATTTTTCTTTTTTAATGAGAAAATACAAGAATCTACCACACGATTTGGGCCTATGGCGCTCAGCAACTGCACAAACGGTTAAACCGAGCTCTCCGATATAACGTCTGCGTGTAACGTCTGCGCCTTCAGGCTTCAACTGATGTGTATATTTTTGGATAGATGGGAAAATAGTCAAAATACTGTTCTAAATAACGTTTGAAACGATCGTGTATATATATATATATATATATATATATATATATATATATATATATATATATATATATATATATATATATATATATACAGTCGTTATCATTAAGGTTGTCCATGTCAATATATACACAAATATATAAATATCAATCACGTGACCATTAAACATGGCTTATTTTGTTTACTTACCTCTTGTTTCTTTATTATTATCAATATTGTTCATCTTACCATGACATTTAAGAAATTATTAAGTTAGATTTCCAACGATTTCCCGTAAAATTAACGTATGCAGTACAATCACGTGATCGGTATTTAGATATTTATATATATTTTCAGGTGACAACCTTAATGATAACGACTGTATATATATATATATATATATATATATATATATATATATTATAATATATATATATATATATATATATATAACTTATAATCCTAACCTCATTGGACCATTGTTTGTCATATGGCAATAGTACGTTTGATTTGTATGCACATCTACGCTAATTCTTGTTGTAGCAACTGACTTTGGCAAATTGTAACATTAATAGCGTCGGTGAGAGGATCATATATTAGTTAAGTCTTTTGTATTTATATCATGATGAAATTTTTAATTTGAGCAAGGAAACAAATAGTTCCGAGTATGTTGGGACTGTGCAGCACAATGATGCACGCCATTTGTAAGGCCGTATAATTCTGTAAAATATAGACGTATACACAGGAATTCCAATAAAACATTTTAGTTTATGCCATATGTATGCGGGTCAACCACTTCTCACACAGTGCCCTAAAATTATAATCAATTTACTCTGTAAATCTGTATAAAATCAACTGCTTTATTACTCCGGCGTCAGCGACGGAGTTGAAAATTCGCCTCGGTTTTGTTTTGTTTTTGTTTTTTTTTTATTATTTTTCGTCGTCGCAAGTCTGAAATGGCGCGAACCATTCTAGTATTTGAAATGTGTATGTAACCGTATTTATCTACGTCCCAGTCTTATCTTCTAAGAGTTGTGGTGTACAGCTTTGGCTAATTTTCCGATGCGCGATTCGATTTCGCTCGCATGATACGGCAATTCCTCCAAGAGGAACAAATAAACCGTTGTTTTCATGCTGTTCGATTAAGTTTAGATTGAATTGGGGTAAGAATATATTTAATACATGTAGATTCTGTTCCTATTCTAATAATATCGCTGCTATTTCGCCGTTTAATAAGATGATGTAGTCGTGTATGGGCGCGTTGACACGTCGTAGTTTGCACAGGATTGAAGATTTAATATAACTGTATAAGCGCCTATTCCAGAAGCAAAGTGTAAGACAAAGCGAATGTATCATGCGGTTTATTTACATTTTTGAACAATTGAACTTCTACACTTTTTAAAGTACGATGTGCTTCTAAATTTCGCAATCGAACATTTATAGGTTCGCAACTCGCAAGGCATCTAAATGCGAATATGAACTGTATTGTTTATGTTCAGAAGCTCTATATTAAAGACTGGCACGTGCGCCGGAGTTAACGCCAGATCAGGCGTCTTGTTCTAATTACAGTCTAGCTATACATCTTCGTAATTTAACGAAAAAATGGCTAAAAAACCTGTTATTATTAAAAAGCCAAATTCTACTTTTGAATGATAGAACACAGTTGAATGTGAGGCCCAATAAAAGGCCGAATCTGAGGCCAACTTCACAGTGGTCGGATTATGAAGACTTTTCAATAGAATGATATCAGTTGTGTTCGTATTTGAACTAACACTCAAAATAACCAGCCTCCAGGTTATAGAAATTACTATATAAGTTTATCTCAAAAGCTTTAAAGCAACGCGTACTAGCTAATTTAATTACCTGCTGTGTTCGTACGTTTACTTACGCCGAATCAAGGTATGGCTAGCTATGTTTACATGGCAAAAGCCCCGTTTACACTACACTCAATTTATCGGCACGGCACGTCTAAAATTGGTATCCGTACCCAATTTCATTAGTGTTCAGGATACCAAAACAAAGGCTGAGGAAATATGAAATGGTGCGGGTACCCATTTTAGCCGTGCCGTGCCAATAAATACAGTGTAGTGTAAACGGGGCTAAAATCTTCACGCAATCCTTCAGTCTTGCCAAACAAAGCAGAAAGATTTTGTAGGATTAACGGTTAAATGATATAACTGCAGAACTGCTGCTTGAAATGACGATTATACGGCAATTATAGTTCACTACGTACCTGGTAAATGTTAAGTCTCATTCACTGACTTGTAAACGTTGTAAGCTGTACAGCACAAAATATCTAACGCTGAATTAACTGCGAGAGCACTTAAACAAATACAGGGTGCGTCAAAAAAAAGTGACACCTTTGAAATTCAAATTAGCTGCGAACTTATGACTGGAATATGACAATTCCCATGTACAATCAACAAAAACGATTTGATAAAACTATTCTTTTGTATTTACAGAGCTTAGAATGCATTTTAACTCCCAATGGGAACAAACTTTATGTTTTATGTTAATTAATATGATATGCTTCGTATACCAATGAAATATTTTAGGCAACTTCTGTCACATTACAGCCGCTATGCGGCTAATTTGAATTTCAAAGGTGTCACTTTTTTTTGACTCACCCTGTACAGCTATTTGCAGTTGAGCTGGCATTTCAAACGCGTTGTTCTATGGAGTTAGGGAAGGGACAAAATTCGTATTCATATTGTAGGGCCAGTTTTCAGTTTTGAGGGGCGGAACAAGTTCTCGATCATCGTTTGTCGAACCGCATTTCACTTCTTCGACTCGTAGTTTCACGTCTTCGACACGCAGTTTCATGTCTTTCCTTCGTAAGTCACATCGACGAATCGCGTTTCATTTCGTCGAGTCGCACATCATAAATTCGTGTCAGGTTTCAATTCGTCGTGTCGGTACGTTCATATTTCGCGTACAGCGGTTTCATTTCGTCGTGTTGAATCTTACGATACATTGTGGTCAGCGGACCTTTCCTTTTAGGAATTGTATATACTTCATATCCAATATTCTTATGATAATTAGCCTTCTTCCTGAAAATGGCGGAAAAGCTAAACGTTACCCATGTGGTCTCCGTGTTAAGAGATGCGATCGAGCAGATTCAGGGCCGAAGTCCGTCTACATCAAACACAAATTCGCACACCGATGCCATAACACAAGGTTCTATAACACCAAGTCCTGCTATGACACCCAGTCCTGCTATAATAACACCACTTACATCAGGACCTGGTCCACGTGAAGAATCAGAACATATCATCAAGCAGTTGAAAGAAATTTTCGGTAAGTGCAAAATTATCTACTACAGAGAAAATAAAAGAATGGTTTCATCGTTTTTCATCGACGCTCACGTAAAAGTAGTAATCTTTGATGACATTTTACATAACAATACCCTACTGAATGTCTCAAGATCACAAGATGCAATCAATGAAATCACATTTTATTACTTGGAAATTGCAATACCCAATTAAAGCAAAAAAATCTGTTTAAATTTCATCCTGGCAGCTAAAATTTATGTGTGCATTGGGATTGAAAGCCTCCGTATCACACCACTGCATGTAATGAAATTATGTATAATGTACAAGTTCATCATCTGTTTTTTGGGATGATAGAATGACAAATATTTCCTCAGATGTAAAGACCTAATCTAGAGAGTTGTTTTTGTTAAAAATTTTCCAGAATGATTTCAAAATTTCAAATTCCAAAATTTTTCTTGCAAAAGAAAAAGGTGTATTGCAAACAATAACTGGAGTTCCCTTTCTCCCCTTATAAACAAATTTTTTACTGTTATGCACATTAATTTTGGGAAATAATAATATGAGATAAGGTTAGTAAACTAAATTTGCTTCCCAAAAAAAGTTGCTAATGAAGTAAAAGGCAAAGTAATCTAATCTAGCATGTAACATCTTTCTACAAGACAAGGAATAGGATAAGATAACTCTTAAAGTGATGAGTGGACTAAAATAAAAAAGGAGGACTCTAAGCAAAAGTTCATGGCTTATGGTTAACCTAAATATGTTCAATACATTCTCTTTCAGACAAGCCTTTCCCAGTCTTGGAGGCGGGGGCAGAAGATTACCTTTTCAAAACCCCCGACCAGCAAAAAGGCAAAAGGTGGTGTTCATTCAGCCAAAGAAATCATGGACACACGATTTCTGTCTTTTGGCGGAAAGCAATCAGAACATTACCCCTTCCCTAACACGATTATCAGCCCTCAAAGAAGCTGGACTTGGAAAAAAGCGCATTGTTTTCCTTGACAAGAATGCTGGTTTTGCAAAGTTTAAGTCAGTTTTAGAAACTGAATACTCAAAATTGAAATCGCAAGATGGTGCATTTGAGCTAATGCGGGGTCAAGGTGGTGGGTATTCTCGCCCCTTGTGTTTAATTCCGATTCCGTCAGATGGATACTCTGTGCCATATCTTAAGGAGATGGTTGGTGCCAGTACAACAATATACATACGGCCCATGAAAGATTATTTATCAGTTGAAAAAGCCACTGTGTCACTTAGCCCAACAAGCCCATTGACTGAATGTGGAACATGCAAAAAGCAAATTCCAATATTTGCTTTACGTCAGCATTCTAAAGAGTGTTCTTCTATTAATATTGATAGTGACATTGAAAATCTTGATGATATGTCAGAGCAAAGTGATCCTGAAGTTGTATTAGAACAATATGATGCCAATTCGAATACTTCAAGCACTTCAGCAATTAAGATGACACAAGGTCATGCAGACTCTAATGCGCCATGCACCTCCGTGCAAAGTTGGTTGGCAGAGCTAAAGCTGGCTTTCCCGGAAACTGAACATACTGTGCTTGAGGAAATTTCATCAGTTGCGATAACTGTGGATGATGCAGCATGTTTTCTGCTCGACAAGCAATCGGTTGAGCACAAGGAAAATTTATCTTTAGAAGATTTAATTGAATCATTTGTAAAGGAAAATGAATTGTCTGGTGATGAAAACATACTTGTAGATCGTGAGATATTGTGGATGAATGTTGTTAAATTTTATAAAAGATCTCTTACAAAACCAGAAATCCTACGAAAAGAACTGTGTGTCTCCTTTAAAGATGAGGAAGGTCTTGATGGGGGTGCTATGAAGCTGGAGTTTTTTTCACTGGTTCTAAATGAGGTTAAGGCTCGATTGTTTGAAGGCATTGAGCAGAATATGGTTCCGATCAAAGACGCTACAAAAGGCATGTTGTTTCAGCTAGCTGGCATAATTGTCAGCCATGCATTATTTCAAAGAAGTTCAATTGGCTTTCCTTTTCTGGCACCACATATTTACTCCTACATAGTAGGTGAAGAAGAAGATGAAACCACATCTAAAATGAAGAAGCAGCACATTCCACTGGATGCATCAACTGAACTCTTGCATGAATTCATAAACTGTCTTGAAAGTTGTGAAAATAATGATGATATCCATCGACTATTAGAGGGAAATCCGAAGTGTGAAGCATTCTGGCAGATAATAAACGCCTCCCGTTGGCCAAAAGAAAAGGTGATTAGTATCGACAGCAAAGATTTCCTTTTACAACATCTTATCTCCCATGAATTGCTTGCCTCCAGAAAAAGTGAGATTGATGAGTTCTTGGAAGGATTAAAATCGCTTGGCATGCTGAATCTCCTTCGCAAAAATAAGGAGATGTGTAAAATATTGTTCACTGCTGGACATTACCAGAAATTTGCGACATGATAATTTGCATGTATACTAATTTGCATTTAACTTTCAGCATAATGGCCTTCAACTTTTACTATAAAATACATAGAGTAAATATACAAAACTTAAAAATACCGTTGCCTTAGACCTTGCCTACTGTTTGCCGACCTCTAGATCGGTAGAGCAACTGTTTAGAAACGTTTTGGTGACCAAATTTTTTAGCTTGGGCATTTCTGCAATCTGCCAAATTTAAAAATATATTGCTCAAAGTTTCATCCGTGTTCTGTCAACGAACTTATAAAATCGCTCACATTGATTCGAATACCTCGATTCAGGTAGTTGATGAATTGACGTGTAATATACCAAAAAAAATTGTTAAAGATATTGTCTTTCGTATTTGCGTATAAACTTTTCTGTACGGCTCGAATTGTCACTGCAATCACTTTAAAAAATATTATCAGTCTTATCATGCAGGAACTTGAACATTACGAAGGCTATATACACATTTGTTCACAATCAGTTGGCCGAACGTAGAAATACCTAAGGTAAGTAATTAGATCATTAAAACGTTGGGAAACGGCTGTTCTATTGACCCAGAGGTCGGCAAACAGTAGGCACGGTCTAGGACAACGGCATTTTTAGGTTTTGTATATTTACTATATGTATTTTATAGTAAAAGTTGAAGGCCATTATGCTGAAAGTTAAATGCAAATTAGTATAAATGCAAATTATCATGTCGCAAATTTCTGGTAATGAGAATTTCGACCTCTTACTGCTGATATCCTTATGGAGATGATCCTTCAAGTAGAAGCTCATAGTTTTTCCGAACGCCAGGCATACGATTGGTTCAAATTATACATTAGCGAAGAGCAAGATGATGACTTTCCTGGTGATTGCCGACAACGCGCACTTTTGCAATTTTGGACAGGGTGGACAGTGGTTCCATTTGGTGGGTTAATAAAACGGTTGAAACTTGCATTTCTTCCAGATGATGATGCAAAAAGTCTTCCTACAACATCGTCTTGCACAAAAGTGTTGAGGATCCCGACTGTTCACAGCTCAAAGAAAGGGTTCTTTCAGGCAATGAATGAGGCATTGAAGTTTGGTAGGGTAGGATTTCCTAATCCTTAATAAACAGCAGCAATTAGTTATCTATTTCAAAGACAAATATTTCAAATATTTCAGTTATTGTTTTTGTCTGGCAGAGTCATCCTTGAGCAGGGCAAGGCATTTAATAAGGCATAAACATTTTTAAATGTTTAAAATAAGGCATAAACAGATATAATAGGGTAGAAAACAAAAACTTATATGTTAGATTATGTTATGTTATTTATGTAATAAATATTGGCTTGATATTTCATTACAGTAAAACCCCACAAAAAGAACAGATTTTACTTAAAAAATCTGGCCACATGTGATGGTTAATAATATTTTATGATGGACAACTTTCCTATCACACTACTATCACCCACCAAAAATGCATTGGGACAAAATATACATATCAATTATAGTGGCTAGCTGTTAAACAAGCAACACCTTTCTCTTAAAAATCTACCAATCTTTATGTGGGGGTTTGTTGATATTTGTTGATTTTAGGGTGGTACAGCTACAACATAGTTAA